ATCTTTCATCTTGCGCGAAAGTAGCTTTAATAAAAATATATGAGACCAATATAAATATACCGCTCCATTTGTTATAATAACAGCACACAATTTTGAAAACAAAGCTGTCCAGAAGATAAGTTTGAATGTTTTAAATCGTTAACATTATTTGCGATATAATTTCAAAATGTAATTTTGAAGTAACACCTGATTTTAACGAGATGAAAGTATGTTCTTTCTTTTTTTACGTTCCCGTTCTTTTCTGTAAGCAACTTCAAAATGACGATTTTTTAATTATCGTCGTTGTAGTAAATGAGCGATACAGAAAAACGTTTCCAATGTGTAAATTTCTTTAATTTACTAAAGCTATACAGCCTCGGCTATGAATATAAAGCACTCTTAATTTATCGCGTTTTCTTGGAAAAGACGATAATAAAATTCAAAGGAAAACAACATGATATTAAACAAGAAAACAACAAGATATTAAAACTGTTATAAAATAAATATTGTTTTTCAATAAAATTATTTGATAGTTCATTTTTCATTAGACATAAAATATTTACGTCAACACGGAAAAAAAGATTAAAAGTTGCCACAACTAAAAGTTAGGTTTGGCAGCTAATTCAGTTATAGCATTGTATGGACACCTACCATCGTGTCTGTGAGGTCTAATTTTCATTAGCTATGAGGCCTAAATATATTAAATTGGGGAAAAAGTTTTTTCGTATTTTTTAATTCAAAATTATATTGTATAACTATAGTAACTAATGCAATTTCAGCTAATCAGAGTTAACTGTGGTCAGAAATATTTTTTTTCCCGTGAATTTGCGAGGATTTTTTATACTTTTGGCTTTTGGCCAAGGGTGCATAATCATTGAATTACTGGATAAAAATACGATATAAAAATGCGGATCGTCTTACATTGTTTCAATCTCCAATTCTTTAGTGAATTCAGAATCAATTTTTCACGAATAAAGTTACGAATGAAATACAAATATATACGATGAATCACCGCGACCAGAAAATATTTCAATGTTATATTCTTCAAGCCTTCAAATATTTCTTGAACACGTAATACAATTTTTATAACAACGTAGATAACGTTGATCGATAGTTGATTGTGAGAATTATTTGACGGCGGATGAAGTGAAGGGACGAAGAATTGAACAGCGAAATTTAATATGTGCTCAAAGGGTTAAACGTCGCCGGCTCGAAATTCTCTCGGACGACTTCCGGCAAATTGCTGGGGCGAAGCTGGAAGTTGGTTATATCGACAGGCAGGACACTAAGGAAGAACGGCGGTGCACGAATGCGTGCTAAATCGAGAGGTTTAGGAGTCGTAGACGACCGGAAGCGCGGTCGCTCCTCCGATGAATATTAACTCGGCAATTCGCCCTCGTCGCCTGCGAAAAGGCGAAATTTTCCAAAACGACGTTTTCCAACTGAATTCTAATACGACACTACGACGATTCTCCGCGATTACATTACCCAAATTCAACTTTATCTTGTGAAGAAGTGATGAAGTGGGTGATTCTGAATTTCACTCCCTATCTCTTTCCATATGTTTACATCGTTTTTTATAATTATAACAAAATTAAAGATTTACTTGAAGAATACGTGAATACGACAATTAAAAATTTACCGTAAATAATATAAAAACGTATACATATATTTTATATTTTTACGTGAACGTGTAATATAAAATGAATAACGTAAAAATTTTTTCATGTTTTAAATTTTATGGCGCATGCAGATATTTAAAAGATCCACGAATATTATAAACATCAAGGGCGATAATTATAACAAAAATAAATATTTACTTTAAAATATATACAGACATATTTAAATCTCATGTTTAATAATAAATAATGAATGTGAGTACATTAAATTAATGGCTAATAAAATTTATTGCGCGTATTTAAAAAATTCACGAATATTGCGAATGTTCGGGACAATTAAAAAACAAATTAATGGACATTAAAATTAATTGACACAAATTTGTAACAACCATTTAATTATTTTAATAAATATATAGTATATTGCTATTCTTTCGCTTTCCTGACTTTTCTGTTAAAACTCAAAAATTTCCCGACTGCCCCTGAAATACGATTCAAGTCTCTGGTTGGAAATCGATGTTCCGATGTCATAAAAATCGATGTGGCTGAACAATACAACACTTTTAAAGGTTTTCTCCTGCCATGCACGCCGGTACCGAAAACATGCGCCGGAAAACCGAACTGACTGCCCGGAACTGATCAGATCCGACAGACATAGAGATTTAATTGAAATTCCGGATCGATACATTCGTGAGCGTTCGATATACACACTGTGCTATGTTATCTCGCGGGAATAAAGATGAATTTCAGGAGGAACAATTATCGATCCATAGATAAGAGCAACAAAATATTTACTTGAAAAAAGAAAAGCACATTTTTTTTTATAATTTATTTCTCAATACTTTACTCTATCTCCAGTTTTGTCTTTATTATTTTAAATCCATCGCTCACATTGCTCTGAATAACCAATATGTTTCCATTTATATATAATAATTGGAAAGAACAAAAATTGAGAATAAAACCGATTAAATATTATTTACAAAATAAACTCGCGACGTTCGTCCTCTATTTAGATCTCAAAACCTTTATCCCCGAATTTGTATCGTCCGGGGAGAAAAACATTTGATTAAACGGTAGGAAAGATTTGTCCGGAATAACAAAGGTTCCGGACGCAGAAAAGGATCCGGAAAGAATCGCAGAGGGGTCTTCTCTCTCTCTCATACGAGCCAACATTGTGTCCCACGGGATCTCTACATGACAGTATCATGATGACGAGGCTCTTTGACGCGGACATCGAAAACGAGTATCGTTTTGTCGACGATAGCGATTGACGTTTTGCAACGCTTTTTGCGACAACTCTCGTCCCCGATCGGGCTGTACCCATCCCCGCGTCCTCTGTCCCTCTTTTATTTTGAATGGAAGCGTCAAAGGCGCATCTTCGTGTGATCATCCGAATTTTGCACTCTTTTTTTTCAATCGCAACGACAGCGTTTCAAATCGAACGCGTGCACTTTTCCGATTGATGCCTCCTTTTTTTAGCTGTTGTTATTACGAACGTTTGAAATTTAAAAAAAAATCCGATTATTGCTTTAGTTATAAATCCGCAATCGTGGGTCATCTCTTAAAACTCGATAAAACAGAAAGGGATTTTAGAAAGATTGAATCAGCTGTCCCTATAGAATTTAATTTGCACAAAATTTTTTAGATTGTATATAAAAATTACTCTTTCAAATATTATATGAAGTGTTCAGCGTAAAAGTGACCCTACACGGTCAATAAAACTGATCGGTAATATTGAATAAATAATACTGACAGTAAGCATCAATATTTTTAGTATTTTTATATGGCCTTACACGGTCAATATTATCGGTAACATATTTCACTTTAGTTTTATGTGCAATATCTATTGCACTATGACATACTGTGACATGGATTTATTAGCATCGCTTTATAAAAAGCGATGCTGATGCTCGAGAATCAAAACCCAGATCACCGTCAGTATTCTACGTCAATCCATCAGTATTAACACACACGATCAATAATATATCGTCGGTATAATTTGTTAACACTGACAGCATTATTGACTGTGTAGAGTCACCTTAACAGTCTGCACGATTTCTAGAACGCTTCCGAGTTAAAAAAAAAAGATTGGAAGGTAAATATTCATCTATTTTATGCAAACAACTTAAAATAAAAAATGAAAATTTTTGTATAAAAAATCAAAGTCACGTTGAATTTATTTAAATAACACCAATTTTTTTCATAATATTGTAAAGGTTGAATTCAATTCTTTAGACGAGTTCAACGGGAATGTCGCTTTTATTGTTTTTTTTCTTATTGATATTTAACTTGTCAGAGTATTATTTTAAACAGTAATACTTATAAGCTCTAAGAAATGCAAACATAAAAAGCTTAAAATTATTTTGGAATTGCAAAATTTTTTCAGAATTTTTTAATACCGTATTTTCTCATGTTGATAACAATAAGAAAATGCAGTCCTAAAAAGTTGATAAAAAATTCTGAAAAAATTCTTAGAGTTCTATGAGAAGAAAATAAACAATTTTCGTCTTTTGCAGTTTTTCCGTAAAGTTGATAGTATTTAAGTAAAAAATTGTTCCATTCTGCCCGAAAGACTTATCACTAATTTCCAAATACTCTGTATATATTATACATATTATACAGGGTGGGTCATCTATTGGTACGTTTTTAAAAATGCGATCAAATGAGCATACATTGATATTTTTTATTAATTTTTTTTAGAGGGAGCCACATGAACGAAATCGTTTTT